TCACTTGTGCTCTAGGTCTTTTCTCTTTCCCTCTTCTTAGGGACTTTAGATGGTAGTTATTTCTTCTTCTTCTTTTTTTTCTTTTTAAATCTTCAACTCTTCCTGGCTATGGAATCTTTTTCCATCCACATTTTCCCCCACTATTTAATATCCAGAAGCCCTGGTGGGGCAGTGGTTAAGAGTTACAGCTGCTAACCAAGAGGTTGGCAGTTCAAATCCACCAGCTGCTGCTTGGAAGTCCTGTGGGGCAGTTCTACTCTGTCTTGTAGGGTTGCTGTGAGTTGGAATCGACTCGATGGCAATGCGTTTGCTTTTTGTTTTTATTTAATTTCTATCCATATTTTCATTTTTTAAAAATCAGTAACATATACACATAGTTTACAGTCCATTTTATAAGATTTATTAAAAACAAAAATAAAACAAAAATGCTGATCTCCTGCCACAGTTTCCTTTTAGGGATAACCACTTCGAACTTTTTTAGCTGTAATTATTTTGGCATTTAGCTCTGTGTCACATCATCTATTGATTATGGCTCCAGTTATGGAAAATGAGACGTTAACTCTCATTTACAACCCTTCTCCCATATACATTTATAGCTTTCCTTCCCTTGAATTCTCCCAGTATACTTCCATTGTGATTTTGAATAGATCGATATTTAGTGTTAACATTTTTATGACTGTATACTATTCAAAGCTAAGACATACTAGCTTTTTATTCCATGCTTTTTCATAACATGATTATACCATGATTACATTTATTAAAAAATATTACTTTTCCTTCTGTATAACTTTTTCCTTTTTTTGGAGGTCATTATTGTATAGTAATTTTGTTAAAACCGTTTCTAAGTTCCTATTATCATCCAACTGTGATTCTTGGCCCTTTGACTAAATCTCCCTTCAGTATATTCTGATGTATCAAATATTCTATCAGTTTCAACTGCTTGGCTACATTTCTTCCAGCGCCTCTGTACAATACCTAGATTGATTGTTGACATCCTGAAATCTTCATCATCATCCAGAAGAGATTCCCTTTGCCTTTCTCCCGTGTTGAATCTCCTGTTTTATCCTTATCGCTGTCTTGGTTTATTACTGTTTTGGTGAAGCATGTCCTCCAGCTGTTTCCTCCATAATGTTGCATGGGAAATACATTTTTTTGAGATCTTGCATTTCTGAGAACCTCTTAATTTTTCCTTCATACTTTAATGTTAGTTTGCCTTGAGATAATTTTCCCATAGAATTTTATAGCTTCCATTGTGTGCTGTTGACAAGGTTGAGGCTTTTCTGATTGTTGATCCTTTATTGTATGATCTGCTGTTTCTATCTTGGAACTTGTAGTATGTGCTGTTTGTCCAGGTTAGGCTAAAATTTTGTGATAATGAGCCGTCGTGGAGGTCTATTTTCATGTGTTATGCTGGTCATTGAGTGTGAGCTCTTTCAGTATGGAAATTTTTACCCTTTAACTCTTGGAATTTTTCTAAAAGTCTTTAAGATTTCTTCTGTTCTTTCAGCACTCCTCTACTCTATTTTTTGATGTTAGACTACTCAAACTGGTTATCTTACCCCTTTTTGATCATCTATTACTTGTTTTTTGGGTTCTACATTTTTGGGTGATTTCGTTAATTTGATTTTCTTGAAGTCTTCTATTGAGGCTTTTAATTTCTGCTATTTTTTTTTTTTTTTTAATTTACAAGAGTTATTTTTCTTTTCGTGTTCCTTTCTTGTATCATCCTATTTTTCATGAATTCAATGCCTTATCTCTTTCAGGATATTGATAATTTTTTGAAATTTTCATCCCTATATATAATCTCCTTTTTTTAAAGTTTCTTTTGTGTTTATTTTGGTCTCTACATTTCATTTCCAGATGTCTGATACTACTTGGTTGTCCGCTCATATTTAAGAATGGCAACTAAAAAGCTGGTGAGAAGCTTTGAGCACATGCTTATTCTTGTTATTAGGTGCTGTAGAGTTGCTTCTGACTCACAGCGACCCTATGTACAACAAAGAATGAAACACTGCCCGGTCCTGCACCATCTTTATAGTCGTTGCTGTGTTTGAGCCCATTGTAGCAGTCATTGTGTCCGTCTGTCTTGCTGCGGGTCTTCCTCTTTTTCACTGACCCTCTACTTTGCCAAGCTTGATGTCCTTCTCAGGGACTGATCCTTCCTGGTAGCACGTACAAAATACATGAGATGAAGTCTCTCCATCCTCACTTCTAATCAGCATTCTGCCTGTACTTCTTCCAAGACAGATTTATTCATTCTTATGGCAGCCCATGGTATATTCAGTATTCTTTGCCAACCCTATAATCCAAATGCATCAATTCTTGTTCAGTCTTCCTTGCTCATTGTCCAGCTTTTGCATGCATATGAGATGATTAAAAATACCATGGCTTGGATCAGGTGCACCTTAGTCCTCAAAGTGACGTCTTTACTTTTTAACACTTGAGAGAGGTCTCTTGCAGCAGATTTGCCCAGTACAATACGTCGTTTGATTTCTCGGTTGCTGCTTCCATGGGCCTTGATTGTGGATGTAAGTATAAAATGAAATCCTTTACAACTTCAGTCTTTTCTGTTTATCGTGATGTTGCTTATTTGTCTAGTTGTGAGGATTTTTGTTTTCTTTATGTTGAGGTAGGAGCCCTGGTCGCGCAGTGGTTAAAATGCTTGATTGCTAACCAAAAGATTGGCAGTTTGAACCCACCAGCTGCTCCATGGGAGAAAGACATGGCAGTCTGCTTCCGTAAAAATTACAGCCTTAGAAACCCTATTCTGTCCTGTAAGGTCGCTATGAGTTGGAATTGACTCGATGGCATCCAACAGCGACAACACCACCACCAGTGTTTTAGGAGTCCCTGGGTGGTGCTAACAGTTAAGTGCTCGACTACTAGTCGAAAGGTTGGTGGTTCAAACCCACCCAGAGGTGCTTTGGAAGATAGGCCTGGTGATCTGATTCCCAAAGGTCATAGCCTCGAAGACCCCATGGAGCAGTTCTACTCTGTACACGTGGAGTCACCATGAGTCAGAATCGACTCAATGGACAACTGACAACAACCACCGCCGGTGTTCTGGGAGCTGAGTGGAGAAGGGGTTGGGGAGGGAAATCATGATGTAAACTTACTTATCTTCCTATCATACTTCTGCCCTCAGCTGTACTTGGTGTGCCTGACTCTCTGGGTTTATTCACCCCAGAGAGTGAAACTTTGGTTATCTGCCAAGGTAGATCTAGAAGCTTATCAGTTGCTGTCCAGTGGATTCCGTCTCATTGCTACCCCATGTGTATCACAGTAATACTGTTTTTCATGACTGGTTTTTTGGAAGTAGATTGCTAGGTCTTTCTTCTGAGGCACCTCTGGTGGACTTGAACAACCAACCTTTCAGTTAGCAGCTAAGTGTATGGTTTTCTAGGATCCCTATTGCTTGTTATTCAGACATTCAACCAGTCCTTCCTTTTTCATTCAACCTGACCTTCATAGGTATTCAATTCCTGAGCCTTTCTGAAGTCGTATAGCTTGCTTCTTGGCTTCACCTACTGCTAGCTTAGATTTCAGCCTCAATCTGTTATCACTCACTCATCTATTTTCTTCTTTCAAGAATTTTTTTGCTGTTTTCTCCTCTTTTATTATCTTTGTTCTTTTTTTTTTGTGCTTTAAGTGAAAGTTACAATTCTAGTTTCTCATACAAAAATTTATACACACATTGTTATGTGACCCTACTTGCTCTCCCTATACTGTGACAGCATACTTCTCCTCTCCACCCCAGATTTCCCGTGTCCGTTCATCCAGCTTCTGACCCTGTCTACCTTCTCATCTAGCCTCTGGACAGGAGCTGACCATTTAGTCTCGTGTATCTGCTTGAGCAAAGAAGCAGACTCTTCACGAGTATCATTTTATGTCTCATTCATTATCTTTGTTCTTGAAGGTTTTTGCTTTTTTGAAAGTCCCATTCCTGTCATTTTAATGGAATTTGGTACAGGAACTGAGGTAAATATTTGCTCAGTCTTCCTTTTTTTTTTTTTTTTTGCAGAGGAGAAAACTTACGCACAGAAAGATACAACTTTTCTTAGTTGTCAGCAAGCCAAAATTAGAATATTGGTTTCTGATTTGTAATCTGGTATTTCTTCCACTCCACCTGCAGTGACTGATATGTTTCTTTCTAGGCTAAAGAGCCTTTCATAATATTAGATCTTGTTAAATCCTTAGGGGAAATCATGTTTGATTTTGACTGTCATTCATTGTCATCTACCATTTCCCATCAGTGTGTTCCTGAAGTCTGTACGTACGTGCTTGGGTTGGTTCTTTTGTCTTATATCCACTTGAGAGCCAGGCCATAACTAGGGGAGAGCATCTAATAGAGTTCTGTCCCCTCACAGATACTCAGAAAGTCTTCGACTGACTGGCAAAGAGCAGGTTGGTCTCTAACTCTTAAAATACTGGTATCACATAGATTTATTGAATGTCAACCTGTGGATGACTATACAGAGAAAAACTGTCTGTCCTTTCTTTTTAAAATTTGCCTATATGACACAAATTGTTTTCACATTGGCAAATTATAAATGGATATGGAATTGGTTTTATATGGTACCTAGTTTCCTCTCCGTTCCTCATCTTTCATTTTATAAACAAGAACACAGAATTTGGGTGACTTGCTTAAAGTTACTTAGCTAATGAGAAGCAGAGCCAACACTTAGAAATTCTCTTCTGAGTCCTTCTGCCCCGTGTATTCTATCAGAAACGGACTTCATACTGGGAAATGATTCTTGAAACTTATTTCTATCAGAAGCAGGTACAGCAAATGGGGTCTTGTTAGAGAGTACTCATGTCTTCCACCAGCCCCAATTTTCATCGTGGGTAGAACTTTGTGGGTAGGATTTCATTATGCCTGAACAGGCTAAATTGAAGTATATGGGTTCTTTTTAAAATTTCCTACCTTATATTGCTGTGAATATGTCTTTATGACCTTATTTTAAGGCTTGAAATATAACTGTTCTTTCTTTTCTTTACAGCCGCATCCAGATCTCATTATGCATCAGAAAAATGAAAAAACAGAGGAAAATTCTATGGAGGAAAGGAATACACTTAGCCTTTTCTGAGAAATGGAATACTGGGTTTGGAGGCTTTAAGAAATTCTATTTTCATCAACACTTGTGTATTCTGAAAGCTAAGCTGGGAAGGCCAGTTACTTGGAGCAGACAGTTGAGGTATTTCCAGTGCAGAAAGAAAGTCCGTCCAATCCAGAAGACGTGGATCCAGGATGAGTCCCTTTTTGCTAAGACCAAGTCAAATGTGGCTGCTCCAAATGTTAGCACTTTTTCCTCTAAAGTGAAAAGAAAGGGCACTGAACAATTTGTTTCATCCTCAAGGACCATTCTGGAGCTCCAGTCAGAAAAGTTGCTGTCATTAGCAAAGAACTCGGACCATGAATATGGTGGAGAGAGAAGTCTTCTGAAGGCAGGTGCTGATTTACCAGCAAATAGTGTTTTAGGTCAGGCCAGTGGGCGCAGACCTAGGACGGAGCCACACGCTTCTGACTTTCCCATGAAGTTCAATGGGGAGAGCCAAAATCCAGGTGAGAGTGGCACGATTGTGGTCACCTTGAGCAGCCATAAGAGAAAGCGCTTTTGTTATGGCTGCTGCCAAGGGCTGGAGCACCACAGGAATGGGGGACCCCTGATTCCAAAAAAGTTCCAACTTAACCAGCATAGAAGAATAAAAGTATCTCCTCTTATGATGTATGAGAAATTGTCCATGATTAGATTTCGGTACAGAATTCTTAGATCCCAGCACTTAAGAACAAAAAGAAAAATTTGTAAACAGAAAAAATCCCAGCAAAGCTGGGTACAGAAGGTCACCGGGGACTATCAGGAGACTTTTAGGGAGAACTGTGAGGGTGGCAGTTGCAGCCTGTTCCCTTCCCCAGAGCCGAAAGACTCTTCTTGTCGGCATCCGCCATACTTCCCAGATATGGACAGCGATGCTGTGGTGAAGGAAAAGAACTCTCCTGCGCCTGACGGTCACAGTAAAGGAAGTCCTTTCTTGGGCAAGGAGCTTAGTTTAGGTGAAGCATTCCCTGACCAACAGAATGGCAGTGCCACATACACCTGGGACCAGTCATCCTCTTCCTCTCCTAAGTGGGAATGTACAGAGCTGATTCATGGCACCCCTTTACCAGAACATCATTCTAGTAACGTGTTCATCTCAGAAACCGAAAGAGACAGTATGACTCTGGGTCAGGACAGTCAGACAAGCGACGTCGATGATGGCAGAGTAAAGCTGTCAGTGTCGGGAGCAGATAAGTCTCTGGGTTGTATGGATGGGCCTGTGTCCGAAGAGACTGTGCAGAATGAGAGCTCATACCAGATGGAGGAGGATGGATCTCTGAAGCAGAACATTCTTAGTTCTAAGTTGCTGGACCACCCTTACTGTAAAAGTCCACTGGAGGCTCCCCTGATGTGTGGGGGACTCAAACTAGAAAATCAAGTGGGAGGTGGGAAGAACGGTCAGAAAGCATCTCCAGTGGATGACGAACAGCTGGCAGTCTGCCTTTCTGGTATGCATTCTCCTTTATTCTCCCCCAACCTTAGCCCACACTTGCTGTCATCATCCTTTCTAGAAGCGCCCCTTTCTTTGCCTTCTACACATGGATTTCCCGTAAACAGTTAGACATGCTTCTTGAAGCCTTTTATATCACTGCATTTTGTAGCTGCTCCATAACTTCTTTAATTAAGCCTCAGCTGATGGACACTTGTGTTGCTTCCAGTTTTTTCCTTCTGTAAACAGTGGTACAATGAAACGATGTCTTCATACTTAAACAATTGTTTCTATAAGTTACATTCCTCGTAGTGGTATGCTGGTGAAAGATTACTCACACTGAAAACTTCAAGAGAATTGTTAAATTACCTTCCAAAAAGTTGAACCAATTTATACTCGGTAAACTTTGCCAATCTTATAGACTGCACCAGAGTTCTTTGTTTTGTGTTTTTAAATTTTAAGTTTGAACATCTTTTGTATGATTATTGGCCATTTTTTGTTTGTGTCTGATTTCCTTTTGCCTATTTTTCTATTGGATTGTTTATATTTTATTTACTATATGAGAAACTCCTATGTACCAGGCACTGTACTAGTTCCTAAGAAGGTAGCAGTGAACAGGATACACTGATCCCTACCTTCATGGACTTAGTGTCATTCTAGTTAAAAAAGATGTTAACTTATTAATTATACATGTTAGAAGAGTTGAAGTTTTCCCGTTCCAAAAAGTAAAAGCCTTGAAAACTCCTACTTTGTTTATGATATTTTTGATTAACAGAAATTTTCAATCCTTTCATGGTAAAATTTCTCTTCACTTTATGGCTTCTAGTTCTCATGTCATGCTTTAAAAAATGTTTTCTCATTAAAATCTACCCTGTAAAGGAAATTGATATAAACATTTTTGGAAGATAATATAGCAGTATCAGTCTTTCACCTATTCCCCTTCTTGGAATTTATCTAGATATAACTGAGTACAGATATATTTATACAGGGATGTTAGTTGTAGTATTCTTTATGGTATAAAAAAACTGGAAACAACCAAAATGAATATTTCTAACGAATTATAAATTATGGCGTATCCAGGTAATGGTATAAGGTGCAGCTGTTAAAGAATAAATTAGATCTTTATTGTTATATTGAAAGATGTCTATGCAAAGTGAAAACAAGTTGCAAAACAGAATGCCGTTTAAATATACACACACGTGCAAGGTGAGTATATGTAGATATGTGTGCACGTGTGTTTGTATAGGACATATCAAGATGGATATGTTAAATTGTTATAAATGGCTTTTTGTCTGGGGCAGTTGGGAGGATTACTTCCTGATAGTTTAAACAATTCTGAATACTTTGTTTTCCCAACCATTAAGTATGTGTAAAAGTTCTTCCCCCCAGAGACACACACAGGTGTAGAGTTCTAGCACATCTTTAAAAAACTGTTTCTGCTGTTTCTGCTGTCCTAGAACAGAAGAAGACAAATTTCCCAACCTACTATGAGGTTAGCAGAACTATGATACTTAAAACTTGAAAAGTTAGCATTTACGCACAAACAAGAATTATCTTTTATAGATGTAACCCTTCCAAATATAATTGATAAACTGAATATGGCACATAGTAAAACTGTAGCATGACCTGAGGAAGTAGGATTTCACAGAATTCACTTTTGGTGATCTATGATGTAATTCATTATTTTAATAGGCTAAAGGAGAAAAATGATGGAATCTCAGCAGGTGCTGAAAAGCCTGTTAATCAAACTCAACTTCCCTTTGTGTTTAAGTGTCTTAGAAAACTATGAATAAAGAAAACTTCCTTCACTTGGTAAAGAATATCTGTCAGTAACCACCAGCAGTTCCGAGTTTAGGCAGATGAATTAAGCACATTGAATCTCTTCTTCCTCCTTACGAAATCCATATAAATTATTTTTAAAAGTATTAAAAACATGTATCTCTGTACTGGAAAAAAAAAAGTGTTTTGGTGAATCAGAAACTGAGAAGCTCCTACAAGGCAAAAAGTAGAGGGAAGTTCCAGAGGGGAACCCCAATGACAGAGGGAAGATTAGTGTAGGAAAATGGGGTAGTTGAGGAATCTCATGAAAGCATATGACCTGTTTGTGTCATATATCAGCAGTGAGAATATCTGCTATCAAGCTGAAATTCTAAGAACAGCAAATTGGTGGGAAGAGATGAGACAACCCCCCCTCCGCCCCCGCCCAACTACTTGCATTGCTTGGCAAGAATGAGGAATATCAATTTCCAGACAGACATCTGAGAAAAGCCAACACAATGAAACAAACATATTCAGCAAGTGGGAAGCTAAACCCAAGTAATCAGGATTAATACAGCAATCAGTATAGGACCATCAGTACAGTAGATGCTCCTTTAACTGACTTCTATAGCATTAGCTACTATTGAGTTCCATGGTATGCTGAATGCTGGCTCTTCTCTAATATAGCTGCACGTTATGCTCATTTTAGTTGATTTATGTATTTATCAAGAGCCGGTTGTACTTATGGGAAATTACTTAGTTTTATTAAGTGTTACATAAATTGATGAAATATGAGTGTAAAAACAAAGTTACTCCTTTGAAAACTAAGTTAAATGCTTTTTAATGACTGTAGTGAGTTGCTGCAAAAAAGAACCCAAAACACTGATACTGAATTATGCTTATACAAGACAACTGTAAAAGATTTGAAGGAGGATGTGAAAAGCAAGGATTCTGCAAGTGTTCTTAAGTTTTTGGTTCACATTAAAGAAGAGCTAGAAGTTCAAACCTTCATCTGGTAACTATGCTAGGAGAGAATGGGAGGGAAACTGTCCTGAAGAAGTAACAAGAAATATTTTCTAGAACTGAAGAAAGGTATGAGTCTTCAAATTGGAAAGACTCAGTGCTTTAATTTAATCTTTTAATCAGGATTAAAATGTACAGTATACACACAAACCCACACTAAATTTTGTGAAGTAATACTAAGGATAAAGAGAAATAATTAGAATAATTAGCTATCTGTTTTGGAAGGAAAAGGAATAGATTCCTGTGTCACAATATATTCCAGATGGTTTAAAAATTTAATTAGAAATAAATACAGATACAAAAGTGTACACGTGAATATATTATCAATAGCAGCATTATTGATAATAGTCAAAAGGTGGAAACAACCTAAACGTCCATCAACTGATGAATAAATGAAATGTATAGCCCTACAATAGAATATTATTCAGCCATAAGAAGGAATGAAATACTGATATTTGCTACAATGTGGATGAACTTTGAAAACATACTGAGAGGAACCAGGCACAAAAAGGCCATATATTGTATGATTTTATTGATATGAAATGCCCAGAACAGGCAAATCCATAGAGAAAGAAAGTAGATTAGTGGTTGCCAGGGGCTTAGGAGAGGAAGTAGATTAGTGGTTGCCAGGGGCTTAACAGAGGAGGGTGACTGCTAACGGGTTCTTTTTGAGGTGATGAAAATGCTCTGGAATTAGATGGTGGTGATGGGATGGTTACACAACTCTGAATATACTAAAAACCACTGAATTGTATAAGAGGGTTAATTTTGTGGTATGTGAATTGTATCTCAATAAACCTGTTATAGAAAACACAGAAGACCGTTTTTATAATCTTATAAGACATTTTTAAACATAGGCCACTTCAAAAGCAATAAAAATATACAAATTTGACAATATCATTAAAATCTTATATATAGCAAGGAAACAACAAAGGAAAATTTAGAAGTTTTGGATATGCATACCATTTGACTCAAATTCGACTTAACGAATATGTCTGTCCTAGGGAAACAAGAAGACAAGGACACAAGCAAGGATTTTAATTGTAACATATTTACAGAGCTAAAAATTAACTTCAGTGGTCATCAGTAGGGGATTGGTTAAAATATGGCATACCTCATTTAATGAACTACTAGATCATTTTGAATTGACTTAGACAAAAATATTCATGATATACTGAATGAAAAAACAACTTCTCAAGAAGAGTAACTATAGCGTGCCACTTACATGTTTAAGAAATACATGCTTATAAGGGCATGAAAGTTCAAACGGACATTCCTTGAAGTTTTAGCCGTTGAATTACGAGGAGACTGCTTGTTTATTTTTAAGTATTTGTTGTCATGTATTAGGAGAAAAAAAAACACAAGAACTACTTCAAAAGGCTATTCATGTTTCAAGTTTATAACGTCTTTTCTAGTTTACCTTTAGCCCTTTTGGAAAAAAGTAAAGATGGGTCCCTACCACATTCTTCTTTCTTTATTTTTGTTGTTGAGAATATGCACAGGAAAAACATACACCAATTCAACAGTTTCCCCACATGTGCAGTTTAGTGACATTGATTTCGTTCTTTGAGTTGTGCAACCATTCTCACCTTCCTTTTTTGAGTTGTTCCTCCCTCATTGACTAAACTCACTGGCCCCTAAGGTTCCTATCTAATCTTTTGAGTTGCTGTTGTCAATTTGATCTCATGTACATAGTTCTTAAAAGAGCATAATGCTCAAGGCAGACCTTTTTTACTAGTTAAGCTAAACTATTGTTTGGTTTTAAGAAGATTTCAGGGGATATTTTTGGTTTAAGGTTTAAAGATGATCTCAGGGCAGTAGTTTCAGGGGTTCATCCACCTTCCATGGCTCAAGGAAGTCTGGAGTCCATAAAAATCTGAAATTCTGTTCTACTTTTCCCTCTTTTGATCAGAATTCGTCTATGGAATCTTTGATCAAAATGTTCAGTAATGGTAGCTGGGTACTATCCAGCACTTCTGGTCTCATGGCAAAGGAGGCAGTTGTTCATGGAGGCACTTAGCCACATGTTCCATATCCTCTTCCTGTTCCTTACTTTCCTTCTTCCTCAGGTGAATAGAGACCAGTTGTGCCTTGGATGGCAGCTTGCAAAACTTTAAGACCCCAGGACCATGGTCTTGGGGAACATCTAGCTCAATTGGCATGACACTACTTATAAAGATAACGCTCTACATTCTACCTTGGTGAGTAGTGTCTGGGGTCTTAAAAGCCTGTGAGCGG